ACAGTACAATCACGTATATCCAATTTTGTGAAATGTTCAGTAGAACCAAACAATGCCTCCCAAACACTTTACCCACCTTATTTATTAAGATTTCGATACCAGACTAAGGCAGACATTTTCATCCCAAAACTGGATATTATAATTATACTGCCTTTTAAATCAAAACTCAAGCAATGTTCTGTACAGTCAGAAGATATAATTTAAATAGTCTTGGTTGTGATTTATAATAAAACAGCAAGATAAAACAACAAAAAGTTCCACAGCAGCAAAAAAAGCAACACCAACAACAACCATAACAACAACCACAACAACAGCAACAACAATAACAACAAAAACAACAACGAACATCACAAAAACAAACAACAACAATAACAAATAGGCTACATAGCGGCAGTAAAAACAAACAAACAAACAAACAAAACAACAACAACAACAACAACAACAACAACAACAACATCATCATTACAATCAGCAGCAACAACAACAACAGCACTGCAACCCATTCAGTAATAGAAGTTGAAAAGTTAGTTCTTTGATTAAATCAAGACGTAAGAAAATCGACCGACAAGACATCAGTCTGTCGACCACTCCCAGATTTAATTTACTCACTCACTCACTCACTCACTCACTCACTCACTCACTCACTCACTCACTCACTCGCTTACTCACTCACACACTCACTCACATATTTAGTCACCCACTCACTCTTTCATTCACTCACTAACTTACGTATCCATTCGCATTCACTTATTAATTCATACATTCACTTACCCATTCACCCATTCAGTCACGCATCCATCACTGATTCATTTACTTATTTAGTCATCCATACACGCATTCATTCCCCCATTCACTCACGTATCCCCTCACTCATTCATTTATCCATTCCTTCATTATCTTAATCAATCACTCTCAAACTCAATCTCGGTGTCATTCGCTTTACAAAACAATACACAAACGAAGCATCCATTCAATCAAAAAATTATATAACTCAACAAATCTATCTTTTGATCAATTATAAAGATATCACTTTAACACAAAACCCCCAATTGACACATGGACACCCTACTCTCTCTCCCCCCCCCCTCTCTCTCTCTCTCTCTCTCTCTCTCTCTATCTCTATCTCTCTCTCTCTCTCTCTCTCACACACACACACACACACACACACACACACACACACACACACACACACACACACACAAGCACACACGCACACTCACTCACCCACTCTTTCTTTCACACTCTATCATTAACACACACAGACACACATACACACACACACACACACACACACACACACACACACACACACACACTCACACACACTCACACACACACATACACACGCACACACACACACACACACACACACACTCAAAATGCCCCCAAAAATATCAGATGGAACTTTATGATTCTATGGACTTCTATAACAATAACATTCAAGCTTGTGCACTGTGACCTCACTGTGGTTCACTATGGAGCTTTTAACTCAAATTGGAACCAAAAGAAGGGGAATGAGGGAAAGAAAAGTTTGAACGGGCAATCGACCATTAGACTACGAGTTTTGTCCATTATTTACTTCCTATTGGTAGGCACGAGCGCAGCAAAGCAGCTATCGATGAATATATGTGCTGCTTAATTTTTTTACTCTTTCTTTTCTGTCATAATATTTTTTTTTCCATCTGAATCTTTGGTATCGCCCCTTCTGGGCTGCTATACTGCCTCGACGATGCCAAGTTTTTAGAAAGAGAAAGACCGGCGGCCATGGCAGAGCAAGGCCTCAGATGATATTATTATTCAAGTGTGTGACATCGAACGACCTTGTCAGTTTGTTAGTGTTTGACCTCTTAAATCGGCTGCTTGTATTGTATACTTCCCGGTAAACTGAGAATGTTTCTGAGTGTTCTAGGGTCTGCTGGGGCAACCCTATAAATTGTAAAGCGCTCAGAACTTGCTATGGAGTGTGGATGTGCGCTTTAGGAAAATTATTATTATTATTATTATTATTATTATTATTATTATTATTATTATTATTATTATTATTATTACTATTATTATTATTATTAATATTATTATTATCATTTTTTGTTTAAAAAAAAATTATAATCATTAAGCTACCATCAATGTTACAATAATAATAATAACAGCTATTATCTCTTCTTCTTCTTCCCATTATTAAAAAATCTTGGACGCGATATACTGCACGAGCGTGCACGCATCAGCCAGCACAATCATGCAAAAACAGACACTGAGGAAAATGATGGCCACAGAGCCCGCGGCTTTGCTCGACGGCCGGTCGTCCTGCGCAGACGTCTTCGTGCGCACCTTCCGGGACAGTATGTTGGGGTCAAGGACGAGTCGCTTGGTCAGTCGAGTCACGGCGTCGGACAGAGAGGCGTTGTCCAGAGCGGGGGTTCGGCACTCACACGGGCAGATGTCTGAGTGGTTGGTGGGTGGGTAGGGGGGGGGAGGGTTGTGCGGGAAGATAAAACGAAAACCAGAAGTTTAGTTTTTGTGCTTGCACCGGTTTCGCAGCACTAGCAACGTAAAAAAAAAGTCATGTGGGAGGCAAAGATTGGAGGTTTTACTAGAGCGTAAAATACAACCAAAAATAAAAAAGAGAGACACCAACGTTAAATCTTTGACTGGAAAGAAAAAGTAACTCATACCGGAACATTCATCAACCGCCCACAGGAAAGACAGGGGGTGGATGGTTGTTTTTTTTTGGGGGGGGGGTTTGGGGGGGGTTAAGAAGATTATCGTGATAATGAAGCCAAAAATGAACCTCGAATAGGAACAAAACCCGGTCAAGCAACAACAACAACGATGACGACAACAACAACATCAGAAAAACACTGTAACGATAACAACATTAGAGACACAACGGCACTAATAACAATATAAACAATAAGAAAAACAACAACGAACCAACAAACTTATCATACATGCTCCAATTCCTAACATTGTGAGGTTGCACCAGAGACAGAAAAAGTGATGTTTTTTGTGTGTTTGTGAGAGAGGAAAGGGGGGGGGGGTAAATAACGGGAAGAAAGTGTGAGAATGGGAAGAAAGACGTTTAAGGAGCCATACTGCCACAGGGAGTCCATTCTCTTACTTACTTGCTTCCTGTCTCCCTACCCTATACCGTCAGGTACAGATGGCATAAAGCAGTCGGCGCCACGCTTGTCTGTCCGTGGCAACTCCCTGTACCCTTGGAAAATCCAGGCCCTGGGCAATTGTTTCATCTTTTGCTTTGTTAAGAGTTTTATAACGGCGCTCCCACCTGTGTAAGGCCATATGAACGCGCGCGGGACACACGTTGGCTGTTTTCACAATAAGCATTTTCAGTTTTTGGTAGGAATTAATTATGGAGTTTGCCCGAGTGGCTGCTGAATTAAGCCTACTCAGAATGATTTCCAGGAGATCTTTAACGTGAGTATCTTACACAAGGGACCTCCGAGACTTTTTCACCCTTATTCGAGAAGGCTAGGAGTTCAATCTTACCTACCCTAAGATCGGGGGTGTGGCTGAAAGACAGCAACAAAAATGAGGCAAAGTGTAGCAGTAGAAAGAGTCAGGAACCCAGAGGAGGGTAAAGGGGGGGGGGGAGGCAGCAGAAAGTGGAGATAACAGCACATGAAAGAACATCTCTGATCATTGTAGAACCCATTTGCATTTTCAACAACAACAACAATAACAACAACAACAACAACAACAACAACAACAACAACAACAACAACAACAACAACATTCGGGGGTATGGAGACATGGTTCTGTGACCGAAATGACAACAGAGTGTCTGGGGAGTCTGTACAGCATAAGCGGAAGGAGTGACTCCAGTGCGAAGATCCGAAGCGCTGCTGTTCGTCGAGCACGAGAGATTGGCGCACAGTACAATATCTACACTGACGGCTCGGCTAGTGCAGGAAAAACAGATAGCGGCGCTGGGGTCGTCATCACAACGGAGGACCCGTCCAACCCGCCTGTTGTCGATACACTGAGGGAGAAAGGCACCATATTCACGTACTCTTTCGAGGAAGAGAGGAGAGCCTTGAAAATGACCATTGACTGGATTGACAAACAGTGTGATGCATCCAACTCGGTCGCTATCTTCACGGAGAGTCAACCGCTATATATGCATGGCACTAGCGGGAACATCACCATCCCTCGACCAAATGCGACTACGCATAAATAATGCAACATCCCACGCCATCATTCAGTGGATCCCTGGTCACTGCAATATCCTCGGCAACGATCTCGCTGACAGTAATGCCAAACTGGCAACAGCACTGCCGGGTCCAGGCCGCCATATTACACATGACAGTGCGTGCGCCCAGATACAAATCACCACAAAAGACCTTCCGATATCCCACACGCGGACGAAGGAAATATACAGGGCAATTTCCTTAAAACGAGAGGCTCAAATTAAGTCCCGCAGTGACCAGTCACTACTGACAAAAATCAGGACCGGTTACTTCTCTGGGCTGCGGGCCTACAAAAATAGAATAGACAAAACATCGGACCCAAACTGTCCATTGTGCAGCGAGGAGCCCTAAGATTTGGAGCACTGGCTGCAGAGATGCCCCGCCACGGAGGTCTGGCGGTGGCATCTCTTTGGGGGAGGATTCAGGGAGGTTGGACTGCATCACCCGCTACCAAAGTGAGGCGGTGGCCATGGCAAAGAGCACGCTCTTCAGGGCTCCAAACTTTTCGAACGGTTAGACTACAACACACACAACAACAACAGCAACAACAAATAAATAGATAAATAAAATAATAATAAAACATGTAGAAAAGAGAGCGAGTAATACGGGGTGCCCATTGGGGGATCGGGTCTGGTCGGGGCGGTTTGCTAGCCAGATTCAGGGCGCAAAGCAGCTATCGTGGCACATGCTGATCGCACGTTTGTTTTCAGGCAACGAGTGGGGCGATTGCCCCCGACCCGACCCGACCCAATCCGACCCGCCCCGATCCAATCCCCAATGGATACCCCGTTTAACCCTTTGTTGCATAGTGTCCACTGCAGTGGGCGTGACTTGAAGGCGAACCCACGAATGCATTGCCTCTCATACCTTAAGAGTTTGTTTCGTCCAGAAAGTTGAAATCTTCCTTGTTTTTACATCAGAAGCTTGGGTCAGTTACTCTTTGCTGCTTCCTTTCATCAACAAACAAAGAATGGCGTCACCAGCTCCTAAAAGGTAAGCCCGTTATTTCCCACATTTCATACTCTTTTTGCTTGTTTATTGTGATTTCCGTTTGTGAAACCATGCCTGACACCTAAGACTATACGCTGCAGTACTTTTTAAGATCAAATAAGAGGGTTTTGGTGATAATATAATGAAAAATATGCACTGTCCACTGTAGTGGACATGTTGAGTAAGTCCACTATCTATGGCTGAAGCGGATGTCCACTCAAGTGGACGTCATGAGCCTGAAAGGATTCTACGTGTGAGTTGGATGTGCACTGCAGTGGGTTATTTTATGTTTAGTTTTAGTAAACACAGACTTTAGAGGGGAATTTTGGAGTCTGGTTCAATTACTTTTTTTCTTTTTTGTTGGCTTTATTATTAGATCTAGTTTTGAGATCTATTATTATTATTATTATTATTATTATTATTATTATTATTATTATTATTATTATTATTATTATTATTATTATTATTATCATTTTGAAGCTATAAATCTTGATAAATTCAACCTCGTATACCCATTTTCAAAACAACTTTTTATATAGAAATTTATGCTCCTTCTTCAGACTCCGCGGTATGCTTACGGTACAGGCTACTTTGGACCTAGTGATGGATGACACTGAGGATTTGCCAGAGGGAAGTGATGATGAAAATCTCTCACATGAAGGAGACGAAGAGCCTGAACATGATCAAGATGCGAGAGCTGACGATGATGACACTATCGTCGATAATGATCCTGTCGACCCAGATGAAAGTGTCAATGATGACGATGATTCTACATCTGATACAAGCACTAGCAGGTAAATTGATGATACATGCACACAGACAGCCATTATTTCAGAATCTTCAGACAGGACGGATGGTTAGTTGTTTTGTGTTTTGACGTGCCCCCCCCCCCTCCCCACACACACCCAGCTACAAATGCCCTTTACCATGTGTTGTTGGACGGGGACGATTGTGGGTATAGGCTACAGAACCATTGCAAGTTTCCCACCTAGTCAAATTGTACTGACGTCAAGACTGACTAATGTTTTCCTAGAATTCACTTAAGGGGATTGCATTGCAGTTATCGGTGCTGGGCATGTTATTTTGTCCCTAGAATGTTTTGTTGAGCAGTTTTTTCCGCTGAAGGAAATGAACTTTGTGTTTTGTCATGTGATGTGCTTCGTTTTGCTTCCATGGAGTACCAGAAACAAGCTATCTTTTTGTCTATTCTTTTTCTTTCACATTGGAGCTTCCGATTCTACCCATCGCATTTGGCACTGGGTGAAGAGAGATTTACCACATCGTGCAAGGCCAACCAACGAGTTACGACCCATGGGACCTGCGGTTGCTGCCCGCACACCATTAGACATGTTCTCATCCCACTTTGATGACGACTTGATAGATCCTCTTATTCTTGAAACAAATAGACAAAAAATTGCTTTCAATAGAACACATGTCAATGTAATTATAGCTCAGCAGATGAAAAAATTTCTGGGCATTTGCATGTTTATGAGTATAGTTGATCTGCCTTTTCGTCGCATGTATTGGGCCCCTGGAAGTAGGCAGCCTGATGTTGCTGACCATATGACTGTAAATAGATTTGAGGAGATCTTGTCAATCCTCTATGTGAATGACAATGTTCTCATGAAACAAAAATTTTCAAAAGGGTGCATACACTGAGAACTGCATAGCAGTTGATGAGATGATGGTCCTCTTCAAAGGCAAACACTCCCTCAAAGTGTACATGGTGAAAAAGCCCAAGAAATGGGGGTACAAAATCTGGATGCATGCAGGTCAGTCAGGTTATGTGCACAAATTCATTTTTGTAGGGGACAAATGTCTGAAATCAGATGAGGAGTTTTTCGAAAAGATAGGAAGGGCTGGACAGGTTGTCCTACGGTTGATAAAAGATCACCCTAGAGATGCTCATGTATTCTTAGATAATTACTTTGCGTCCCCAGATCTTGTCGCCAAGTTGAGGGATCCCAATCTAAATGCCACATGCACTGTGAGATCCAGCAGAACAAGGCAGTGTCCTTTGATGGCACAGAAATATCTCAAAAAGTAAGGGAGGGGGGATTTGATTTCAGAGTTGATGAGGACAGTAATGTCCTACTCTGTGAATGGTTTGATGATAAAGTTGTCATCGTTGCCTCAAACTCAGAAAGTGTCTTGCCGACACACGTGGTCAGGCGTTATGACCGCAGCTCTAAAAGGTACCTGGATGTCCCATGTCCAAATCTTATTAAAAACGTACAATGAAAACATGGGTGGAGTTGATAAGTCGGACATGCTGCTGTCTCTGTACAGAATCACACTCAAGACGAGGAAGTGGTACAAAGCCTTACCTCCTGGCCTCACTAACTCAACACGGTAAGGTTCACTCTGCCTAGAACGCACGCCTACAGCCGTCACAAAACAGGTGTAAGATCCCTCATCCAGTGACGTCATACCGGTCAGTCTCAGCTCGCTGCTGCTGCTGTCTGGGGTGAAGGCAGCCCCGTCCTTCCGCCAACAGTACGTGAAGGGCAGCAGGAAGGAGCCACTGTCAGTGGACGTACAGGTCAAGGTCAGGTTAGATCCTACGACCAAGATTGTGCTGGGGAGCACAGAGGGGCTGACTGTTGGCTTTTCCGGGGCAACTGTTGGGGCAGATAACAATAATAACCATGATTATGATGATGTTGATGATGATGACAAAAAAATAAAATCAATAAGAATAGGAATATGAAAAAGAATAGGAATGATCATGATGATAATAATAATAATATTAATAATAATAATAAAAATAATACCACTATAAACATCTCTCACTTTTACATGACTGTGATATTGTATGTAATTTATGAAATCATACTCCTTCATTTGCGTGCTTTCTCTTTTCCTATCCTTCTTTGTCCAATTGTGTGTAAGTGTATCCTTTTTATTGGGTTTGGACAGTGGATGGTGGATGGGTTGAGAACTTGGTGTATGTCAAACTCTTATACCCCGTGAATGACTGAATGATCATCTTTCATTATCTTACTCATTTTGTCTCTCAGATCCTGAAAATTACTCTTTGCCATTTATAAGGAGAATGATACAGTGGCGGGGAACACACACACACACACACACACACACACACACACACACACACACACACACACACACACACGCACACAAACAAACACACTCACACACACCCATAGCTGTATAATAATATATTGTTATAACCTTCTATGCATATGTGTACGTTGATAAAAAGCCCATCAAACAACTTGTGAATTCATTTGCATTAAAACCACCTTGTGCCTTGTGTCATAAGTAATAGATGGCACCATAAGTGGTCACATTGAAGATTATGTGCATGTTTCTGGAACAAGAGCAGGAGCAATTGATAGACGGTGACAAAAGTACACCCTGAAGATTCATGCGAATCATCAAAAGGTCTTTTTGCCTAAGAGCAGAGGTTTTATCCATTGCATGCCCTTTCTTTGTCACTTTCTTTTCTGGCATGTGAGATTCCCACTTAGTCTGGCTGACGTTGTCAAGACTCAAAACTCACGTACAATTCACATTGATCTTTGTTTGGCTCACGGGTCGACATGGTCTTTTCATCTATCACATATTTGAGTAGCCTGACATATAAGGCAGATTGTCCCTGACCTGTGCAGGCGGTTTCAATCTCCCACTGATTACAGAACCAGGGATCAAGATACAGTTTTTCAGAGTTTTGCTGGCAATAGTGAGTGGGAAACTTCAGAAGCATGTTCACAGATGTTAACAGAAACTCCTTGGCTTGCACGACCTTTGTGGATTGTTTGGTGGTGCAGCTGGGTGGGCTCTTCTAAAGCACTCTTTACAAAGCACTGGAGGGTCCATGTTGTCACCAACAAATGCCGGAGGAAGTTTCTCAGGATCAGATGGACAGACAGAGTCACCAATGAGGAAGTAATGAGCAGAAAATCTGCAGACAGAAGAAAGCTGTGGAGATGGGCTGAACTGAGCATACCATAAGGAAACCAGGCAGCTACATAACAAATACAATTTTAATTTTGAGTCTACAGGTTACACGATCAAGGGAAGGCCATGTTGAACCTGTTACAAAAGTCGCAAAGAATGAAGAACAGAAAAGTGGAAAGACATTTGACAAATATGAAGAAGATAGCCCAGGGTAGGGAATAGTAGAAAGTGTCCGTAAGGGGTGAGCCAGGCGATTATGAAACTGGCATGAGCACTTCTGGAGCAATTTACAATGGGTGAGCCCGGTCATTGATATCAACATCCTGCAAACTTAGATCTTCTGGTTATCTGTTTAATAGATAATAAACCCAAGTGTGCATCTTTCAGCTTGGTGTATCGCATTTAAAGTGTACTCTTTCGCGTTGAGAAGATCGTTCATACAGGTATTTCTGTCTCCCCATGTCAAAGTCCAAACAAAGACAAAGATAGTTGTTCTGTCTTTGTCTTTTAATAGTGAGCAGTCATTTGATTTGGTTGAGCAATCACATCTGGGTTTCAGTTCATTAGTTTTTTCAATCGACCTACTATCTCTTGATTTGTATAGCTTATTGCTGCCCCCCGCCCCCCCTCTCTCTCTCTCTCTCTCTCTCTCTCTCTCTCTCTCTCTCTCTCTCTCGGAGGTTAAAATAAGCACATTTGATCTGTTCCAACGCACCGTGAACTTTGAATGACACTTTTTTTCATTGAAGTCTGGTTCTTTTATTATTTCCGTTTGGTATTTTTTGTAGCTTCCTTTGATGCCCAAAGTGGTTCACATTGCTCGGCTTCTCAACATTCCTTTTCTCGTTAGGGAACTCTGTTGTCAAATCAGTGAGTTTTCAATGTCAAACAAGTTTGGGTTGTGATACAACACGGAAATAAACTTGTAATTTATACTTGACTACGTCACGTTATTATAAAAAAAAATAATTTTGCAAACAAGCAAGATAAAAAATTGTTTTATACGGGGTGCCCACTACGGACGGGATCGGCCGATCGCCCGACTCTATCGCCTCAAAAACAAATGTGTTTGTTTTCAGTTTCAGGCGATCGAGTCGGGCGATCGGCCCGATCCAGCTGTAGTGGGCACCCCGTATTACCCACTACAAGAAGAGCACACAAATTACACATTCGATTTTGACAATCGTCGTGAAACAATTCCAGTCTTGCATCTAGGAAACACACATCTTAATTATGTGACAGAGGTTTTCCCGCAAAACATATGCAGTCAACATCATGAATTACAACCGTGAATACTGACCGACAATTGTGTTTGCACAACGCAATCGCCCATATTTTCATGGTCCAGAGAGGCGTTCACGGCGCCAACGGTCAGCCCCTCGAGTCATAAATCGACTGATGAGGTCGTGAATTCCACACAGGTGTAGGATTCACGGTTTCATCAGGCGACTTTGGGGGCACGGTGTTTATTCACGATTTTCTCATTACGTCAGATTATACGTTTGAGTTGAGATAATTGAAAAATTGTTTTACAGGGACACGTGTCTCACCGAGCACTATCAAAATATGCAAAAAAACGATTTTCGAAAATTTGTGGAAATCACGGTTTTATCAGGCGACCGACGCTATATCAAGTTTTTAACTTTTTTTCTTCAAAATTCAGTAAAATGCAATTCTTTATAATTTAAAAAACATGTACTATAATAATGTGTATGCGTGCATTAAAGAACACATTTAGATTTTGGAATGGGCATAACCAGCCAAACTCAGGGAAGGTGGTAGATTTTCTAATTATATGCTCCATGTATTGACCATTTCTCTCCAGAGGAGCTCGAATACGCCACTGGAAATTGTCAGTCTATTTTTTAAACCTCCTGTCTAACAATGAGTTTCAAAAAACGGTTCGATTGTTTGTGGGTAGTTTCCGCTGATTCTGTCTTTCAAAATCCCAAAGGAAAGATTGCACCCTGAATGGTTTTTCTGTTTTTTATTTGTTTGTTTGTTGTTGTTGTTGTTGTTGTTTTTTGACAAACTGTCTCTGACAAGTTTTTAAATTTACGTTTTCAATTAATTTATTTTTCAAAGCAAAAACTATACACATCATGGTTGGTCTTTAAGACGTTATAAAATTCAGCACTTTACTCAATTAAGATTGTGAAAAATAAGCAACTACAAAAAAAGCAACGACCAAAACCAACCTAATAAGTCTCGAAAACATTACTTTATTTTCTTTGTATGGAAACATTACTTTATTTTCTTTGTATGGAAACATTACTTTATTTTCTTTGTATGAAAACATTACTTTATTTTCTTTGTATGGAAACATTACTTTATTTTCTTTGTATGGAAACATTACTTTATTTTCTTTGTATGGAAACATTTCTTTATTTTCTTTGTATGGAAACATTACTTTATTTTCTTTGTATGGAAACATTACTTTATTTTCTTTGTATGGAAACATTACTTTATTTTCTTTGTATGGAAACATTTTATGCCCCTTTGGTTAAATCTTACTTGCAGAAATTTGATGAAATTGGCATGATAATGACCCAGTGATTGCCCTTTACATGGGTCCTCTTTTTATTTGACACCCGGTACTCAGCTAAACACCTTTTATGTCTATACTGAAAAACGCTCATTACATGCACAAAATTTGTGAATTTTCAGTTTTAAAGGCTCTCAAGCTATTGAAGTAATCAATCTTTGGTGGCCGTTTTCTCACTAAATTTATCTCTAAAATCAGGGGACCCCACCTCCTTCAATCACAAATATTTCGACTTCTATTCGGCGTAGATGAATATTGTTTTCATCAAAAGGAAGGCAAATGGGCAGGCTTTAAGATGATATCAATAACTCTGTATGCATCAAAATAAAAAATGACGAGCGCTTGATCCCACCATGTCGTGACACCTATTATTTTTTAGTGCATTATATTATTATGTGCATGTATGTGTGTATGCATGTTTTTCATGCACATTATGCTATGCGCATAGGGCAATGATTGTTTTCCGGATTTGCACGAAATAAATGTCATATTATTTTTATCATTATAAGCGAACAATGGGATATTGTGGGGGTTGGGGGGCAAATGTAAGAAAAGTGTAAGAAAGGGGGGGGGGGGGGGGGCAAAAAGTTCCAAAAAAGATGTAAGATTATATTTGAACAGCCCCTAAGTTTTAAGATGTCCATGTGTATCTAGATCTATTTTCATGCAGAGAATATAAGTACATGTACATTACATTACATACTATTTATTTTGCTGTTTGTCTTTATTTTTCCCTAATGAGTCTTTGTTGTGTTTTAGTTTGTTGGTGTGTTAATTATGATGCAGCGTGGTGGAATCAGGCTCTCGTCAATTTTTGGGCATGTGGAGTTATTGATATAATCTTAAAGCTTGTTCACTTGTCTTTATTTGGAAGGAAAAAAATACCAATTTATCTTGAATACAAGTCGAGATATTTGCTAATGAAGGAGGTGGGGGTCACCTGTTTTCAGAGGAAAAGTTTATGAGAAAATGGCCGCCAAAGATTAGTTATTTCCATCGCTTAAGAGTCCGTGGTAACTGAAAATTTCCATTTTCTGTGCCTTTAATCAACGTTTTTTTCAGGAAAATCACACAGAAATGTGTAGGGCCAAAAAACAAAAAATTTGATAAAAATTCACAAACCTGCGGAAAAATGCAGATTTTTTTCACTTTGATTATTTTGGCGAGAGCCTGATTCCACCATGCTGCCTCACAATTTTTCTAAAAATTGTTCTGATGATTTGTTTTTCTTTTGTGTGTGTGTGTGTGTGTCTATACAGCGTAATGTCATTTAATTTGATGCTATTCCTACCCTTTTAAAAATACAAATGTGTTATTTTTTATATTTTTTTAGTAGAGGTTTTACAGCGCTCGCAACTGCATAAGGTCATATGAGCGCCAGAAGATTAGAGGTGTTACAAGAGAGTAACAAACACAAAAAAGAAGGAGGGGAGATAAGGACGATAGATGTTTGATAGGAAAGAAGAAGCAAACCACACCAGAGCACCCGCCAACCACCCATAAACGTGTTATGTTAGAGCGTGTCTCCGCCAAAACCGAATACTGACACTGACACGCCCCAATTGTGTGTGATTCCCTAATTTATATGTAATATCCTGTAGGCCTACTTTTTCTTGAATTACACACGTTTAGGGTTAAAACAGCCAAACTTCGGATAGGTGGACGTGCCCCAATTTGTTAATTTTAGTGGCTATTTATCCGTGCTGTTCTAATTTTGATTTCATTCTGTTGTGAAACCTTTATTTTTCACGATTTTATATACTGGGTGACTACAAATGATATATTGATGCCAAAAACAGAGCTCAAGAAATTCTGGTGCTTTAGATTGTTACCTCTATCAAATTGCTATACATGTATACGTCGTCACCACAGAGAGTTGAAAGCTTGAAAATAAATGGGAAATATTTTGGCAACTTTTGCCACTTTTTGTGACAGCTTTTGGCAACTTTTGGACAAAAAAATGGCAACAAACGCAGATGCTAGGTTGGGGGGAAGGGGGTGGGTGGAGTTGGTTTTAAATTGATGATGCTAGAGCAATAACTTAGGTAGATTACACATAGAAAGTCAATGAAAGAATTTGAAGGGGTAAAAGAGCACGAGCAACACGAATACATGAATGGATAACCAATCAAGCAATCAAGCAACCAACCAAGCAACCAAGCAACCAGGCAACCAAGCAACCAAACAACCAAGCAACCAAACAACCAAACAACCAAGCAACCAAGCAACCAGGCAACCAAGCAACCAAACAACCAAGCAACCAAACAACCAAACAACCAAGCAACCAAGCAACCAGGCAACCAAGCAACCAAACAACCAAGCAACCAGGCAACCAAGTAACCAAGCAACCAAACAACCAAACAAGCAAGCAAGTCTTAGCAAGGAGCAACCAACTAACAAACCAACCAACTCAATCAATCAATCAATCAAGCATTCAATCAATCAATCAATCAAGCATTCAATCAATCAATCAATCAATCAAGCATTCAATCAATCAATCGATCGATCGATCAGTCTGTCAATTAATAAATCGATTAATCAATCACTCACTCACTCAGGAGTTGACGGAGTAAGAAAAAACCCAAGCAGATGGAGGATGAAGAGGGAGAAAAGGAGCTGATGAAAAAATATGTAAGTGATAGAGAGCGCATGGAGTGGCCTGGAAGCCTGAAACTGCTGATTACGGGAAGGACTCCCCCCCCCCCCCAGGGTAATTATTTATGCTGGAGCTATTTGTATAAAGAACATCATACAACACAGACCTACCTTGACACGTGCTGTGTGCTGACTGTGTAAATCCTGTGTGACAGAGGCATGTGTAGTTTCCTAGTGTGTTGTTACACTCGCTGTGTTGGGGACAATTGTGGAGGTTCTCACTACACTCGTCTATGTCTGAGGGGGATTTTTTTTTGGGGGGGGGGGTAAGAAGGGAGGAAGAAAAGAGAGGACAGTAACTGATGTAATTTTGACTATGATGATTATCAACAACCCAACAATAATATCCATTTAAACAGCAGCAGCAACAACAACAACGAGAACAACTATACAACAAAAGTAGACAACAAAAGCACACGCAGCAACAACATCATCGTCAACAACAAGAAGAACTTTGATGGTGACAGCAACAGTGACTAAGAATGTGTAAAGGGAAAAACGATAAGAAAAGTAGAAGGAGGAGGAGGAGGAGAAAAAAATATCGATTTAAATAATTTGAAAGTCTTGATGTTAAGAGTATGGAAAAAGGGTCCGCACAATTTAAGGAATATACGAGGCATGCATTACATAATTTACAAGATTGATCTATTCAACTTTAGAATAATCATGACTAACCTTCGCACATTTCGTGTGCTGTGAGGGTAAATCCTGTGTGACAGAGACATGTGTAGTTTCCTAGTGTGTTGTTACACTCGCTGTGTGGGGGACAACTGTGGAGGTTCTCACTACACTCGTCTATGTCTGGGGGGAAAAAACACGGTTGGGGAGGGGGGGGGGTAAATTAGCAATAACGTAGGACGACTATACGACTATAGAAGTAATTGAAGGGCAAAAAGGCAGCATCATGAAACAAGACGAATGCATGAATGAAACAACTAGATAAAATACATTAATAAATAAATAAACAAATAAATACATTTAAAAAATGATTAGATAAAGAAATAAAGTAATTAGACAAAGAAAAAAAATGTCCAAGTTCAATTATGTTATAAACATAGCTCTTCATATGACGACACACACACAAGTTAGGGGAGACCACAGATCATGGTGTTTGAATGAAGTTACTGGACGGCTCTTAATCAGGGTAATGGCTTTTACAAATTACCCAAACTATGTGGTAAGTTTTATATGCCTTATCATGCTGAATTAAGTCCTGCGATTTTACTAACACCCATCATTTTATTGATCTTCTCCATTGTTTTCTCGATATCTGTAAAACAGTGAATAATTTAATAATAATAATATGTATATATTAGGAAAGTAACACGGTATCTTAGAATGATAAAGTTCTATCTGACATTTTTCCCCTTTTTGAGTTACTGAGACGATCAGGTCAGAAATCACATTTTAATGTTCTGTCTGTTTTATCAAAATTGTATTGTAAGATTAATCGGAGTCGTTATCAAGGTAGGCCTATTTAAAGAATTGCATTCGAAAAAGCTTGACATGTTGTGCAACTCCAAATTTTTAACGTCAAATTTCTTCACTGTGTAAGTATAGAGCAGATAGAACCTTTGTAATTCTAGGGTAGCGAACTGTTGTGTCACCAGATCATTCGTCTATGTATCAGAGGTAAGTGGTTTGGGGGGGTGAGTTGAGGGGGTGGGGGGGGGTACTTGTTGGTGGTTATGAAGGGGAGGAGATGGTGGAGAACGAGTAGACGGAGGAAGACAAAAAACCCAGCAGATGGAGGATGAAGAGCAAGAAGGTGTGCGGATGAAAAAAGTAATAGTGATACTGATAGGGAGCGTGGACTGGCCTGGGAGGCTGAAACGGCTTAATAGAGAACGCACTTTTATTTTTAAAAATATATCATACGACACAGACTGACTGTGTAAATCCTGTGTGACAGAGACATGTGTAGTTTCCTAGTGTGTTGTTACACTCGCTGTGAGGGGGACAATATATTGTGGAGGTTCTCACTACACTCGTCTATGTCTGAAGGGATGCAGAGGTGGGTGGGAGATAAGGAGGGAGGAAGAAAAGGGGGCGGGGCGGGGGCAGGAGGGTGGAGAGCAACTGACATAATTTTGATAATGATGATCATCAACAACCCAACAATAATAGCAATGAACAGCAGCAGCAACAAGAAGAACAAAAAACAACAAGGACAATATAACAAAAACAGACAACAAAAGCAACAACAAGAACTTTGATGGTAACGACAACAGTGATTAAGGATGAGAAAAAGGAAGGAAAAAAAGAGAAGTAGAAGGAGAACGAGGAGGGAAAAATCGATTGAAATTATTTATAAGGCTTGAAGTAAAGAGTAGGGGAAAAAAAAGGACGGCACGATTAAGGATTATAGGAGGCATGGACGAGCGTACAAGATTAATCTGTTTAACTCCAGAAAAATCACGACCAACCTTGACACGTGTCGTGTGCTGTGAGGGTAAATCCTGTGTGACAGAGACATGTGTAGTTTCCTAGTGTGTTGTTACACTCGCTGTGTTGGGAACAATTGTGGAGGTTCTCACTACACTCGTCTATGTCTGGGGAAAGGGGTGTGGGGTGGGGTGAGGTGGGAGGAAGAAGTAGGGGCAGGGGGAGTGAGAGCGAAAAGAAGGCAGTGTGTTAATTCAATTTGATGATACAAGGGCAATAACTTATGTAAACGACCCCCCCCCAACAAAACAACAAACAACAACAACAACAACAAAAACAACAAAAGCACACCAATAGATGTTCAAGTCAATTTCGTTGAAAACAGAGTTCTCAATATTGCGACACCCACCAGGGGACAACACAACATAGCAATTAAATTAAATGACTGGATGGCTTGAAATTAGAATTACGACCTTTACAAATTATACATTTATACTTGGTAGTATATGATCCCTAAATCCAGCTGTTTAAAGAAAAGCTCGAAATAACTAGAAGGTAACTTAGACCCAATATTTTTCTAATCACGTCCATAACTTTTCTCGGAACCAGTAAAAAAAACGAATATAAGTGATGAGAGAACACAGAGCGGTTGATTAAACTGTTGGAAGGGGTCGTAGTTTTATTCTGTTTCGATTTGGTTTTGGGGAGGGGGGGAAGGGGGTAGAATTCTTTCATAATGGAGTTGTATTATACTTTATGTGCGTGGATGATATGCGGGTGCTCAGGTGTGATGTGCTTCTTCTTTTCTACCAAACAGCCACTGTCTTTATCTCTCATCCTTCTCTTTTTGTGTTTGTTACTCACTTGTAACACCTTTACTCTTCGGCACTTATTAGACCTTTTTGTGTTGCAAGTGCCGTAATACTTACTCTTACTTAAACGAAAGCGTTGTTATAATTAATTAATGAGTGAGAGGCTGGAAAACTCGACAAAACAACCCAAGCCCAAGTTCAAGAATGCCCAGTTACTACAGTTAGGTATTTGAGCCAGGGCCATCTACTTCACAGTCCAGCATGATGCTAACTAAGCAATTGTAGTGTCCATCCCACAGCTCATGTACTGATAATGAAAAATAAATGACATCTTTATTAATGTGTATAGTATTTTATCTTCTATCTGTGGACTTCGATACCCATAGAAACTATCTTTTCTAAGATAACCCAAATTTAGAAAGCCCATTGACATGTTACAGGTTCCCCTGAACTATAATAAATGTGTATATATAACTGTTGTTCTATTTATTGATGCGTCTGACTTGTTTGCTTCTTCAGAGATGATATTTCTTTCATTTTAAAAATGAAATGCCCGGTTCTGTCAAGGCGTTGCACAAAACAATGACCTAATATTCTTTGAATATGGTTTAATGCCCCAAGTAGCATGCTAAGAACAGTTGGGAAGGTGGCATTAAGTTTTAACTTCAGTCTCTGGAAGAACCTGACTGTAGGCCTATATGAAAATCCTCCAACACAATGCAAAGTAATTGGCCTGAACCAATAGTATTATATTCGAACCAGGATAGCTTACGTTGAAAGCAATAAGGCTATTGACTGGTTTAAATTAACTGTGTAATCCCTATACATTGTTGTATTTGTATTATGGAAATACAAGGAATACTTTTGATGTGGTTCAAATACGGTATTGGAAATAAGTGTTGTTGATATTATACAAAAGTCACTTTATCGTTCTACGAAAATACTCAATTTTGAGAGAAGAGTGGTTTACACCATGATCCTTGCAATTTCAGATGGATCTACATTTATTCAAAAGCCCATATTTATCATGACTTGATCGATTATCGAATTAAGGAAATTAAAAAACAAATTAATGACACAAATGTGTGTTTTTTTTCATTGTTCTCGACTACCTGGAAGAATGTGGGTGTTTGGGAAAAAGGCAGTATTTTCTTAAGATTCAGTAAATATTATTCAAACAAAGTGCAAATTGATTTTTAAAAAAATGATTGTACATCAAGTTTAGCCACCTCTGACACCTGTTGAGTTGATGCCTGAGGAATATTTGCAATGGGAACTTCTTCAAACTTTGAATGGTTTTTTCTCAAAACTGAATCTCCGAACCCAACTAACTTCAAACAGACATAACTTGGGAACGAAGCCATATTTTTTAATCAAATAAAGACCAGGCTCTTCAGAAATGAATACCCTTTAAAAAAATTTTTTGTTGAAAAATTCCCCTTCAGACTGATTTTGTCAAGTCACGACACATATTATATAATATGTGTCGTGACTTGACAAAATCAGTCTGAAGGGGAATTTTTCAACAAAAAAATTTTTTAAAGGGTATTCATTTCTGAAGAGCCTGGTCTTTATTAGATTATAATATATGGCTTCGTTCCCAAGTTATGTCTGTTTGAAGTTAGTTGGGTTCGGAGATTCAGTTTTGAGAAAAAACTATTGAAAGTTTGAAGAAGTTCCCATTGCAAATATTCCTCAGGCATCAACTCAACAGGTGTCAGAGGTGGCTAAACTTGATGTACAATCATTTTTTTAAAAATCAATTTGCACTTTGTTTGAATAATATTTACTGAATCTTAAGAAAATACTGCCTTTTTACCAAACAGCCACTGTCTTCCAGGTAGTCGAGAACAATGAAAAAAAACACACATTTGTGTCATTAATTTGTTTTTTAATTTCCTTAATTCGATAATCGATCAAGTCATGATAAATATGGGCTTTTGAATAAATGTAGATCCATCTGAAATTGCAAGGATCATGGTGTAAACCACTCTTCTCTCAAAATTGAGTATTTTCGTAGAACGATAAAGTGACTTTTGTATAATATCAACAACACTTATTTCCAATACCGTATTTGAACCACATCAAAAGTATTCCTTGTATTTCCATAATACAAATACAACAATGTATAGGGATTACACAGTTAATTTAAACCAGTCAATAGCCTTATTGCTTTCAACGTAAGTTATCCTGGTACGAATATAATACTATTGGTTCAGGCCAATTACTTTGATTTATTTTGGAGGATTTTCATATAGGCCTACAGTCAGGTTCTTCCAGAGACTGAAGTTAAAACTTAATGCCACCTTCCCAACTGTTCTTGTCATGCTACTTGGGGCATTAAACCATATTCAAAGAATATTAGGTCATTGTTTTGTGCAACGCCTTGACAGAACCGGGCATTTCATCTTTAAGATTCAGTAAATATCATCTCTGAAGAAGCAAACAAGTCAGACGCATCAATAAATAGAACAACAGTTATATATACATATATATTATTGTTCAGGGGAACCTGTAACATGTCAATGGGCTTTCTAAATT